TTTTTTCCTCTGTGTGTGGGTGTGTAGAAATCGTTCTCGTATTTTGGACAGACTTTAATATTCCGTAGATGTCGAATCGCTAGTTCGTCAATGGTGTTTGGTATTTAGGTTTCGCCGTGAGTGCGTTTCTAGAATCCTCGTCACCACTGATGTGGGGCCAAAGTCGGGACCATAGAAGGAAAACACGGAACACGGATTAGATGTAAGAAAGATATATTAACAACAGGTTACAGAGATAGTGTAAGCGGAGCTTACTATATGTTAGTGTCCAATACTGGTAGTTGTACTAGACTCTCACTGTCACTCTCTGTCACTCTCTAGAGTGCTATGTCGCCTACTTAATATAGGCCTGGAAGATTCTATTGTGTAGGTAGTTTCCGGTCTCATAATAACAACACAAAATTTCAAACAGAATTTATACATTTTTCTCAAGAACTAACAACAAAAATGTTAAACACTATATATTATAGATAAAAGAAAGATGTGATTAATATTTTTACACGAGAACAGATTTTAATTTGTGAACTATAATAATAAATTATTTATTTAACAAAAAATCTAAAAATTTTCTTATTATTCACTAAAAGAATAATTTTTCAGATTTACAAGGTCATAAAAATATATGAACAAACTATAATGAAATATTTACCATTTTATAAAGAGAGTTTTGTCATCATTCGATTAAATTTGTTTTGAAGCTATAAAATTTACCGAGTATCAAAAGAAAAAACGTATTTTTGGCACACTGTAATTTTTTTTTTTAAATGGTCCGAAGTTAAAATTTGTTAGCATAAGATGCTGAAAATTCTTGATTGCGGCTGAAAAAGTCTCAACACGAACTTTTTTTAACTAAATTTTCATCCGGTGCAAAGTCTAAGAGTCACTCAAGTTAGAGGTTTACTGAATGAAGTTGTTTTTATATAGACTTAAGAAGAGGAAGTAAGTGCAGGGAATTTATGTTGGATATATAAAGGTTGATGCTAAACCTAAAAAGGCTTTCGATTGTAGTGATTTGAAGGAGCATCCTCTCAGGAGTCTATTCCACAAGGTAACAGTTCTTGGGAATCAGCATTGTGCGTAGAACTTTTTCTTTACCAATGCAATACGGAGGGAATAAGGATGAATCAACCCTGTGTATGTGGCATGGTGGGTCCTGTCTATCACGGTCATAACTGATGGAACTATGTAGCTCGTCTAAATATTTGCCATGGAAATTACGTTAAAATATTGATAGTCTTGCAACGTTTCTTATGCGGCAAAGAACTGTAGGTTTGAAAATAATCCATCGCCTACAAGGCCGTGTAAATGATTTGAACGTGAAGATTGACTAGTTCCAGCGCAAATATGGCAACTATATTCCCACTTCTCAAAATCGATATTTGGTCTCTTAGTGGGGGGAAAGACGCATAGAAACCGCATTTTCTTGTGTAAAATACGACCCCGTGTTTCTGGAGCTATAAAAAAACAGGGAAGAAATTACATCCTTGAGTATAATAAGACCCGTTAAAGTTGTAACATATTATTTATTAAAATCTCAATGCACATATATTTAACTAAAATATGTAATTTTTCACTATATTAAAGAATAGAAATGTACCAGATATTCAGCCATTGTGTGTTTCAAAACTTATTTTCGAATTTCCGGGGAAAAGTGCATTGCTGTAATATTAATGTTATCCAAACATGATAGATCTTGTATATCCCATTTATATTTTTTTTTATCAATTTTTGTGAATTTCCGATCTTTCTAAAAAGATACGTTCAATTATGCTGATTCCCAAAGAACAAATATTGCCGACATATCAAATACGTTTTGTAAACAATTGTTATTGACATCTGCCTACTTTGTATTTTATTATCTATTGTGCTGAGCGTATTTGCTGTTTCAAATAAAAAATCTTTTAAGCTGAGTAAAAATTCCTGAAAACGTGTACTTGTGTATAAGACGACCTCAAACTTTTTGCGTTTAATTTTCGTTCAAAATTCCTCGTATTATACACAAGGAAATATGGTAAGTAGATTTTAGACGACAGTTACCATGAGTGGGCATTTTGTTGATACAGATACGTCGAGCAGGAACAAATGACACAGAATATTTAGCGCAATCTCAACTGTCAGAAATGTTGGTTGGCGAGTTATTTTGTCAGCAACAAGTTATACAAGGAATGTTTTTCGATTTATGGCATTTAGAGGCGAATGGCGAAATAGTTGTTTTGACAAGGTGCCAATAGAATGTTTAGCTTATTGACTGCCACGAATATAGATAGAAAAGCCGGAGTCAGAGCTCCGAGGCAGAGTCGGGAAGAGGACACCAGACAGACAAGACGCAAACAACATTATTTTTTTTTTTTATGAAAGGTTAAACATATTTGCTAAACATCAATTGCAAGAAGACAGAATGAATGGTTGTTAGCAAAACGAATAGAGAAAAATGCAAATTCCAAATTGGAGATACCAAAATCAAACAAGTACAACAATTTAGATATCTGGGAATCGTTTTAACAGAGGACGGAAAGTACAATAATGGAATCCGAAGGCGTATTGGGATAGCGAAAAATGCCTTCCAAAAGCAAAGCAAAGTATTAAGAAACCGAAAGGTTTAGTTAGAAACAAAAAAAATAATAAACTATTACGTAATATCAGCCCTCTTATATGGCATGCTAGGCAATCTCCTAGTAGATGAATAGACTCAATGCGACAGGAATGTTGTTCTACAGAAGGATGCTGACGATACCATGGACCAAACATGTGAGCAACAACGAAACTTTAGAGAAAATGCAAACAAAAGGGACACTTATACTTAACATCAGGAAGCAAGAGAGAGAGAGAGAGTTGGAAGAGGTTCTGGGAAAATGTGATACAGAGGTTGGACAGAGGAAAACAATGCTTTAGGTGGTATACCAAAAAGACAAAATTTATTAAGAGCTAGAAAGGACAGGAAATTGGGGAGAGCCATGATAGCCAAAGTCCTGAAAGGACGGCACATAGCAGAAGAAACATATCTGAGAAAGAATGTATTATGTGTCGTGAACTGAAGTCGAATGTAATTTTCATGTCTCTAGGTCATTTTTCCGCACCGGAACAAAAACTTTTCAGCACCCTTACGTTAATAAAAATCATTTATTTTGCAAAATCGTTAAAAGGATTTGAATCTATGATCGGTAAAAAAAATAGAGAAAAAGAAAGAACGTTTCTACAGAAACAAAATGATATCTATCTATAAAAGGCAGCATGTGTGTGTGTGTGTGTGTGTGTGTGTGTGTGTGTGTGTGTGTGTGTGTGTGTGTGTGTGTGTGTGTAACGAATGCACGGCCGCAATTTTCGACGGATTTGCACCAAAATTTACACGCACATGCTCCAAGTTAACGAGAAGGCCAAGACCGACTGTGCATTTCCCAACTCCCATCGATAGTGGAAATAATCGATTTTTTATGCTTCTACGGCAGTTTTCATGTAGTTTGCGGCCATTTTCTACTGGCCACAGTGAGAGCCTATAGCTGGCTGCCACGAATAGGCAGGAAGATTCTATTGGCCAGCGTGAGAGCCAATAACTGACTGACACGAATGTTAACTAACATGCTAGCATGCAAAAAAAATCCATAGCTGCATTCGTCACAAGTGGGAAAAATTTAAATCCTTTACTCCTTTGACTCATTCGCTTGCTTAAACTCAACGTTGATTCTGATTCCGCAGAACTGGGTTGGGTGTGAAAAAGTATTTGTTGTTAACATTCTTTTTTCAATCGGTTTTCCAGTTACGAGTCCTTTTTTAAAGCTGATCGTTTTGTGTTCATTTTGTTTAGTTCTTTTTTTCGTAACAGATTTAATGTTTAGTATAGAGCTTAGAAAAAAATTCGCAGTGTGAGATAGGCAAGAAGTAAGGCATGTAGCAACATCAGCACGGGAAAGGGCACCCCTTTCAAGGCAAGGAAGGGCAAAAATATTTTAAGTCAAGTGATAGCGATTGCTATATGAGTCGTACAATTTTTGAATCAAACACGAGCAACGCCGGGCCGTGCTGCTAGTATAAAATATTTTCAATTCAAGCTGTAAATTCTATGCTAACAGTTTATTTTCTCGCAATTCTCTCTATGGAACTCACTTCCGGCTAAATCCTTTCCAGCCAAATTTAATCTGCAAAAATTTAAATGCTATGTCAATCGCTACCTACTGTCCTCTTGATTACTCTTTTTCTCTTCCCGCTCATTATTCATGTTTCTGTTCCTAATTCTTCCACACCCAGTAACCCATCGTGGATTTACTGCCTTGCATGGGTTGAAACCGTTTAAAAAAATAAAAATACAGAATATTAAAATAATAATAAAAAACAATAAAACATTAAAAATAATAAATAATAATAAAAAAAATATGAAAGCATATAAAAAATAAAAGACAATAAATCAATCAAAAGAAAAAAACAACCAAACTAAAAACGATAAAAAAAAGAATGAAAATAAAACGAAAAAATAATAAAGCACTTAAAAACTGGAAAGAAGCATTTTAGAGCAAATCAAGAGAAAAAAGAACACTTTGCATGGCAAACATATTCACTTACCCGCAAATACCTTTGAGAAAGGTATGATTCCACCCCTTCTCCCCGTCTCAGCTAGGGTTTAGTTAGTAGGATCTGTATGAGTTAATTCATTCTTATCTCCAAATATTTATTAAAAACTAATATTTTCTGGCTGTAAATAACATGTGAAAGGTTGATAAGAAATAAGACGTCTTTTCGATTTTTCTACTCGGCATTCCAATGTTAATTTATGCATGAAAGAACGAAAAATTTGCTAAAGTAAATATCGAAATGGAAAATAAACAATAAAAAATATAACGAATATAACGGATGTTTTTATTTGCAGTAGTAAAACACTCAACGTTGCCATCATAAACTCAAATGAACTTACTAAAATTTTGGTGGGAGCGTAGGTAAAAGAAAGAAATAAAAAGAAAGGAAATATATATTAAAGGGAAAACAAATGTAAAAAGTAAATGAAAAAATACGTATTATAGGAAGAAAAATATTTCCTATAGTAAGGAAGATAATATTCATGACAGAAGAAAGAAAAAATAATGTTGCATAATAAACTATAAGCATGAAGTCGATAGAAACTTAGATAAGCGCATCAATGAATAAGAAATATAGGGATAAATATTAAAACTATTTATCAAGGGATAAATCTGCAATAAAAAAAAAACATCTTCGTTCCATCTCTTTCTTCTCTCCCACTTAATTTTATTCTTTTTTTTTTAATCATTTCAGTCCAAACAAGACTATAAAGCCACTAGGATGCAAGAGGTTACCGAGTCCTAAAGAATATGAGAAAAATCCCTATTAATAACAGAATAAGAATTAAGAAGACAGAAAGTTAACGACTGATATTGCATTTAAATTTTTGAAATCCAAAGTTTGACTAGGAAAAAAGAAACCGGAAAAGAGTTCCACAAACGAGAAGTGCGAGAGAAGAAAGAGTTATCATAGAACTTCCGGTTCCATCTAGCCATTTCAACAGTAAATTAATGAGACCTTGCCGCCAATCTAGTACTGCGCTTAAATTCATAAAGTCTAGGTGCCATATAGGAAAGTTTATCAGAACAATTACGATGAAAATATTTATAAAAATGACACAGAGAAGCTAATTTCCGCCGGTGGGAAAGGAACTGAAGCCGTGTTGCCAGGTCAGGACCAATAACATTTCTCTGGAAAACAGTGTTAAAAAAACAATTCTCTGCACAAGTGTTAAGTTCCGAATTTTAATTCAGCATAATCTTTCTTTGAATACGATCTCCGTGGTGTGTTTACATTGCAAAAATATAATTTGACGCGATTTCTTTTAAAATAAATATAATTACACTTCTTAAAGAAGTGTAATTATATTTATTTCTTCTTCTTAGAAATTGAGGCTGAAGGAAATCTAAGGAGTCTTAACCATGAAATAATTCGAATATGTCACAATAGTTGTTTTAGAAAAAATTTTCAGCTACCTGCTAAGCTTATTTACGAAGAAATTTGTATTGGAAATTTAGCATGGCCCCAAAGACCATACAAAACCGATAATAAAGACCATACAAAACCGATATAAATCGGTCATTGTTTGATTTTACACATTTGGGGAACACGAACTAACCGAATCAAAGGTCGTTTCGTTAAAATAATCCCCCTAATTCTGCTTAGTCTTTCTTCGTAGCCGTGTGTTCGTTGCCATGGTTACAAAAGTACACATCGTTAATTAATATAGAAAACTGTTGATAAGGAAAACAGAGGCAAATACAACGGGATGCTGAAAAAGGGATGCTGAAAAATTTGGGGCTCAACCCACTTCGAAAAACCTGACCAAAAAATGAAAGCTCATATCCAGTGAACCGAAATTTTCTTATAAATAGCTTAACTTAAATTAATAAACTCGTGAACTGAAGGTCGTTCTCAACGAATTCTCCTCCAGTTCCTATCCCACGAACGCAGGTGTTCCTCAATGCTCCATCCTAGGCCCCACTCTATTCCTTATCTACATAAATGACCTTCCTGACGCCATAATTTCCCAAGTTGGCATCTACGCGGATGACACCACAATTTATTCCTGCCTCAAAAACAAATCTAGTGTCACTGACAAAAAACGTGCGTCTCGAAAAGGACCTCCAATCGGTTGTGAACTGGGGCAGGAATTGGCTGGTCAACTTTAATACTTCAAAAACAAAACTGCTCTCAATTAATCACCACAGAGATCCTTCCTTGCCCTCCATTAGAATGTCTGACGCTCAACTTCTCGAGAGCAACTCTCTGCAGCTGCTCGGTCTCACGTTGACTGCTGACCTGAGATGGAACAAATACATTGAGTCAGTTGCTTCGTCCACCACTAGGAAAGTTGGCTCCCTGTGCCGCGCCAGGAAATTTTTCTCTCCAGAATCGATCCTTCAGATCTACAAATCAACAATTCGCCCTTGCATGGAGTATTGCTGCCATATATGGTCTGGAGCCCCTCCTGTTTGCCTCGGGGTTCTTGATAGGTCCCAGAGGCGAATATGCAATATAATTGGCCCTGTTCTGGCATCTCATCTATATTCACTTCTCACAGACGCGCCGTCGCCTCTCTCTGTCTGTTTTACAAATACTTTCATGGCAATTGTTCCGAGGAGCTGCATTCGCTGGTTCCCAGACTTCATGAGTTCAAGCGCCCTACGAGGCTGGCATCCCGCTCTCACCCTTTCACTGTCGAAACTCCTAAATGTAGCCGTCTCTTCTACTCCAATAGCTTCATGTCTCGCACCTCTCGCCTGTGGAACTCCCTTCCCTATTCCAGTTTCCATGAGAGCTATAATCTCCAGCTATTCAAATGTAATGTCAATCGACATCTCCAGTTGCCTTAATCTATCCACTACCCTTCTCCTCATCCTTTCTTCTATCACTCCTACCTGATCTTGCTCCAAATTTTCTGTAACCCTTTGCGTCCTAGTGGCTTCTCGCCTTGCTTGGGGTGAAACGCTTAAAAAAAGTTTAAGTTTTAAATTAATGTATTGATTCGTTTCGTTTTGTTATTCGCATTGATCTTATATTCTTCAAGGTTATATTTTTTTTTTTTTTTTAAGCATTGTGCCCCCAGCAAGGCGTGAAGCCACTAGGATGCAGGGGGTTAGGAGCGAGAGCAGATAAGAGTGATAGGAAGAAGAGGAGAAGGATAGTGGGTAGATCATGGTAATTGAGATGTCGATTTATTGACATTACATTTGAATAGTTGGAGATTATAGCTTCAGGAAACAGTAATTGGGGAGGGTGTTCCACTGGCGAGAGGTGGAGGTATGAAGCTATTGGAGTAGAAGAGACGGCTACATTTGAAGGTTTCTACGGTGTAAGGGGTGAGAGCGGGATGCCAGCCTCTAGGGCGCTTGAATTCATGGAGTCTGGGAACCAGAGAGAGCAGCTCATCAGAGCAGTTACCATGGAAGTATTTGTAGAAAAGACAGAGAGAGGCGACAACGCGTCTGTGAAGAGTGACTGCAAAGCAAGACGCTAGATCAGGGCCAATTAGATTACATATCCTTCTCTGGATCTTGTCGAGAACTCCGAGGTAAGCAGAAGGTGCTCCAGCCCATATATGGCAGCAATACTCCATGCAAGGGCGGATGATTGTTTTATATATTTGAAGTATCGATTCAGGGGAGAAAAATTTCCTGGCGCGGCACAGAGAGCCAACTTTCCTCGCGGTGGAAGAAGCAATATATATATTATATAGTTTATATATCTTATATATATATTGTATTCTTTGATTTTTTAGAGTGCCTTCAATTCTTTTCCTAGCTTAATCATATATCTCAACTACACTCCTCTTCTTTATTTGTCATATATTCCTAATTTAGTAACTTCCACCTTATTCTCATTTCGTCTCCACTGTCTGATAACCGGCTTTGATAGATTTCCGATAATGACAAAGCATGGCAAGATTTTCGAACTCGTGTCTTTCAAAGTAACACTCGGGTTGAAATACAAACGATTTTCCCCGTTCGAATCGCCAACATTCAATCCTCTTTAATCCCCACTAAAAAAAAGCATAGAAATACTCTTCATATAAACCCGTTTGCTATAAACGAAAATATCGACTATTGACAGCTTCTGATTGGTTCCGTCTGCCCAATTTCACAAACAATGTGACACTAAGGGTGTGAAGGGGTTAAACATTAATTCTAGGAAGAAAAAGGGATAAGCCCAAAATGAAATATAAACTGGAAGATAGAGAGATAGAAAAAGAAAATGGAAGACGTTTTCGTTGGTAATGTGGAAGTGGAAAAAAATGTTCATCTGGGTTGCCTAACACCTACGAATTGGTGCAGAAAGAGTTTACTTTTTATCTATTGAAAATCCGCTCTGCGGCTAAAGAAAATTGGCAAACGGCTTTGTTTCTTTCTTGGAAAATTAGAAAAACACATGTCATTGGCGAAAAGAAAAGCAGACAAGAATTATATGTTCATTAGCGAAAACGAATTGAGAAATGAAAACAGAGAATAAACCCGCTACACGGGTTAGGATTATTAAAATCGACCCTTCTTAACAGGCAGTTGATCTGGCTTATGTCTTCGCTAAGATGGTTACCGGCTTAAGGATAGAAAACAGGGTGTCTCTTTGTTGAGAATTTAGATAAACAAATATATTTTCATTGATGAAAACAAATTGGTAAATGATTTTCATCTATCAAACGAAAGGTTAAAATGGGGAGGCGATCTGGTTTGTGTTTTTCGCTACACAATTAGGTCCAAAAAAAGAAGTCAGAGAATTGAAATTAATGAAGAGAATAAATCACGCCCTTTTCCCTACGCACTTTAAAATTAGATTTGTCACAAAGACAGTTATGCCAGTCCTGATAAGTGGAGAGAGTTAGAATTCCGAGAAGGAAGTAGGAAGGGACAGAATTTAGCCCGCCTGTGCGGAGTAGCGGTGCGATATGTGAAGTAAAGCAGGTTGAAGTTAAGGGAAGAGAAATACCTGTGACTACTCCCAAGAAGCGTTGATAATTCTCCAAATTTGGAAAGTTAATTAAGAAAGCAAAAATGGAGAACAAAGAAAACATTTATTGGAATTAATGAAAATTGAGGAATCACCGAATCCCCAGAATACTTCAGCCCCACAACAGTTTTGGGCCAAAGTGCATATACTTTGGGGAGCTTGAAGACTTTGGTTTGAGATCTCGCATTGGGTGCCTCTGAAATCCACATAAGCTGTCGCCAGATTTCCTGATTCCAAGATTTGAACCCAGCTACTCCAGAAGTTTAGACAAGGCCCAGTGTCACTATAGAGATTGATGCGGGAAGGGTTCATTTTTGTTGTACCATGAGCTATATAAACCAACTGAAGATTAACCCCACGAATCTCTCGTTTTATTTTTCGTTGTGAAGATATTTTTCCCTTAAAATACCAGCCGCGATGGCTTGAACTAGTGCCATGAGACTAAGAGTTTCGATTTTCCACTGCTCTGAGATCAAGAACACAGTGTGGGCAGAGTTGGTGTGGATCGAAGCGGCCGGCGACCAACAATCAGCTTGGACCAGCTTCAGTATTGACCAGTGCCGAGTTAGCTCCATGGTTAAAATGTCCTAAGACCCTGAGGGCGGAACCACTAAAATTTGGTTATACCACCGGCTGCAGGTAGCGGCGAAAGATTATAACAATGCTTGGGTCAAACCGTTGTATGTTTTTTCAGTTACATTCCTATAGTTTCACACGCTGGGATCACTTCCTTACGCCGATAACATTGTAGAAGTCACAACCTGATAAATCGAATATACTGAGATCCGAATCTGGATCTAATCGTCGGAAAAATTTAATTAACTTTAAATCAACTTTATTCTATTAAATCAACTTTAGTTTATTATATTAACTACGGCAAATACTCGTCACGTCACGAGTCTTGTAAGCTATATTTTTTATAATTAAATCTAAATGTATAATTATTTCACGAGTATTATTTTATGCAAAATGTATTATTCTTTTCGAATTATTTCTTTTCTCTACTATCACAAACATTTTTACAATTTTTTTCTAAACTATAACTTATGAGGCGTGTTAAAATTCCCAAAATATTAATCATTGTTAAAGTTATCGATAACATTTTTGTCGATATTTACAAACTCTACGTTGCGTTCAATTTCGCATACCAATCGATGAAATTTGAATAAGCTGATTGCTTTGGAAAAATACTTTGACAAAACCCTACTTCGCGGTTTAATTTCTTTAATTTAATTTATTCATGGTAAAGAATATTTTTTTAAGAAAATGTTTTTTTTCTTCCTTTTTAACAGCGAAGAATAAATTCTTAGGATTTCTTACTCTTGAGCATGCAACATACAACTGATCAGAAGTAAATATTTCTTTCTGGATCCAAATTCCAACTTGTTAAACCGTTTGGTCTTATGATTTGTTCATAGTTCTCGCAAAAGCAGATCGAACTGGAAACTGGATTCTTGTTTATATAAAAACATAAAAACATCTAAAAAGATACGCAAAAAACAATATTTCATTTTTATTTAATAAGTATTTGCAATTTAAATCATTAAATTGCTGTTAAAATAGTGGTGGTATTTTGTATATTAAATAATAAAACATTGAAAATTTATTGTACTAAGCTACGCCCCCAAATAAAACCAACTGTACTTTGTACCCTCTTTGTTTGCACTTCTCCCAAAAATTTGGTTTCGATAGATCAATGTATGGCTATTCTAGAGAGTGTGACAGTTGGACAGACGGATTAACGGAAGTCACATAATTTTATACATAGATAGTTTTTAACCTAGATTAAATTGAAACACATATTCAAAAGGGAACATTTTATTTTCCACCAATTTAGATAGATAGATAGATAGATAGATAGATAGATAGATAGATAGATAGATTCACACTCCTCCCCGGTCTTTTGAACAGGAGTAGAGGTTTATCTCTTCTCCCTGTTTTAGATTGGGTCTCCGATTCCTTCTAAAGTCTACTTCAATTTTATAATTCTGGCGTTTCTGTCTGGATTCTGAAATTTTATTTATTGATTATTTATTTCCTTTTTTCTTTCTTCTCCACTATAGGATTGTGTAGATTCTCCTATCGTCCTGTTCACACTCCTATTCAGTCTTTTCAACAGGAGTAGGAGTTTATCCTTTGTTCCCTGTTTAAAGTTTTTTTCTTCTCTTTCAGTTCCAGTATCCAATTTCGCCTTAGTGGCATTATCGCATTGCTTGGGGTGAATTGATTTAAAAAAAATAGATCGATAAGAACCCTAATCGTTGTAAGGCCATCACATGCAGTGTAGTCATCGCAAGATGGCCTATAAAGAGCCCATTCCTCTTCAGGCTGGTTTTGAAATGTTCCTTCTCCTATGATGGTTGCTATCTAAAGAATAATCTAATAATAGTCTGAATTGCTATATCACCAACAGGTGGCGGGGGGAGATGGATTTGTGTATAATCCAAAGGCATTAGCATTAATTGAACGAAAAAAATCGAAAGCCAGTTGAGTTCGGTGCGTTAAATCCACTTATCGTGCGGATAGCCGTTATTCAAATGGAAAAAAGGGCTATTTTTAAGTCTATGGGATCCACTTATTCTTTTTATTACTGCTGTTTTCATGACGCATTCTACAAAATCAAGAAAGAGAATAATTCGAAAGTTGACTCTTTACGAACCCAAAATCAAGCCAGCCATATTTACGCCGGTCTGAAATTTTAAGCAGTCACACTAATTCACGGACAGACAAAAAAAAACTATTTCGCAAACAAAGTCTATTATCATTTGTTTCATGAATATTACGATGAGGAAAAAATTAGATTTGCTTTCAAGACACTTCAGGCCACTTCAGATAAACGGCTATAAATGGTAATGAATATACAACAAGGAAATTTGCGGAGGTTGAAACAAGAAAATAGAAAGGGCGGAGCAATATTTCTATGGTTTTGTGGGGCGAGAAAAAGAATTTTAATGAAGAAAGAAAGAAAGAAAGAAAGAAAGAAAGAAAGAAAGAAAGAAAGAAAGAAAGAAAGCAAAATCGTATTAAACGAAAATGGGAAACGCAGCAAAATGAAAGCAGGAATAATATACATTGATTAAAAGAAAATAGAAAACGAGAAAGAAAGAAAGAAAGAAAGAAAGAAAGAAAATATGTAATAAATAAAAATATGGAAGATGCGAGAGAAGTAAAAGAAAAAATATCGGAGAAAGCAATAAATGAAAATAAAGACTAAAGTAAATAAAAACGAAATGACGTCAGAAACGTCGTCATGTACTTTGTGTAAAGCTTCGCCATATTTCTTTCTTTTTAACTTTCCTTTATATCACCTTCAATGTCGTATCTTTACTCTAGATTTGGCTTAAACAGAAATGCCGCCAATACAAACGATACGCTAATTTCCGAGTTGGAATTCTGATTTGAACAGTTCATGCATTTGAGAGAAACACAAAACGCTCAAAAGTTATACATTTTCGTAAGATTAAAAAAAGTTTTTTCCTGATGTCATATTTAACAGATAGCGAATGAGGAATTCGATTTCATTTATATATACTGACAGAAATTCAAGCAATTCAGTATTTTCTTTTCTTGAGAAGTTGCTCATTAGGATAAAGGAGAGTGAGTTTGCTTTTTAATAATAGGTTTCGTCGAATTTCTGGTATAAGCTATCATTATTTACATTCGGACTAACGTCCTTAAACTTGTTGTTGTTGAAGGCACAACGGTCGAAATGGTTTAAACGTTTCGGCCTTTCTGTTCTCCGACCCTTTTCAGTCGTATGCAAGTCCAGATAACAATCAGGGAATTTCGAATTAATCCTTTTATTAAATCTACAAGGGGAAATTGTTCTTGTTCTACTGTACATATTTAGGAATATCTCGGCTTGTTCTTAATAATGGTGGATTAATGCCAATCCTGTTTCCATTTAATCTAAATCTGTGCTACATAACCCAGAGATTGAGTTCACAATTACTATATCACCAAATCCAGGAACCAATGCTTTAATCTACTAGATTCTACTGTTATGTGGGGAAATGTCACTAGACATGGACAATGAAACGAGAACTATTTAACCCCCCCCCGTAGATTAAATGTAATCCAATTTCGCCTTAGTGGCTTTATCGCATTGCTTGAGGTGAATTGATTTAAAAAATAGATCGTTAAGAGCCCTAATCGTTGTAAGGCCATCACATTTTGGTTTTGACTCGTTTTGAAATTTTCCTTCTCCTACGCTGGTTGCTATCTCATGAAAACCCAATATTCATTGCTATATAACGAATATAAGGCCAAGCATGCCACGTATATATTTCCTACGTCGACATACACCTAAAAAAATGCCGAAGGACCCAACGACTGAAATGTTGTGATAACAACAACAAAGATGAGGATGTAAATAATGTTAGTAAAAAAAACTGTTTGTTAATATAATATCTTTATCTACATTATATTGATTCGATTTCTGTTGACAATATTCTTACTGTTAAAATGATCTAACGACGAATAAAACAAGTCGAATTTACAATTCTACTGTAAGGCCTCCGTTCGCTCTCACTCCGATAATAATGATCCGATTTTAATGTTTGTGTTTTTGTTCATTACAAATGCTGAAAAGAAAATTATAACAGCATTTAAAGAGGAAAAATAGCAAATATTCTGACGAGTTTCATTGCTTAATTCCATCAGTCCATACCTTTACAGCTAAGGCCTAGCATGTCGCGAATATAGGATCGAAACATCCTCATCCCCTTCGTAATCTACTGGCAAAAAGGAAGTTCTATTCGAACAGCTTCTTCCCAGGAACTGCTATTTTGTAAAACACACTACCCAGAGGATGCTTCCTTGATCACTACAATCTTAATTTCTTCAAGTCTCGGATCAACCGTTATCTAATTTCAATACCCTCATTCAATAACCTACTACTTTGAGTGTTTCTTGAGCCTTGTATTAGGCGAATAACGGTAAAAAAAAAGACGAAAAGAAACAAAATTACTAATAGCTTTATAAAATAACTTCGACAAATCATAATAACTTCATTTTGTATAAAATTATCATTTTATGCAGAAACGAAACTGCTCTCGGTTACCCACCATAGAGAACCCTCCCTGCCTCCCATCAGGATGGCTGATGCCCAACTCCACGAGAGCCCCTCTCTGCGCCTGCTTGGTTTCAAGTTGACCACTGACCAGTAGTGGAACATCTACATTGAATCTATAGCTTCATCTACCGCAAGGAAAGTTCGTTCTCTGTAGGTTTTTCTCGAATGGTTGATTTGTAGACCCTTCAGATCTAAAAATCAACCATTCGTCCTTACATGGAATACTGCTGTCATATATGGTTTACGCCGTTAATCTCGAGGTCCTAAACAAAATCCAGAGACGTGTTTGCTCCTGATCTGGCATCCCGTCTGCAGTCGCTCTCTCACTGGCGTGCTGTGGCTTCCCTCTATCCTTTCTACAAGTACTTTCATGGCAACTGCTCCGACGAGCTACTTTCACTGGTTCTCAAATTGCATGAATTTAAGCGTGCTACTAAGTTGGCATCTCAGTCCCACCCTTTCACTGTCAAAACGTCTAAATGTAACCCTCTCTTCTACTCCAAGAGCTTCTTATATCGCATCTGATAGCTTTAATTTTTAAAATATTCAAATGTAATGTCAGTCGACGCCTTCTGATACCTTGACCTTGATCCCTGTCCTTCTCTTTATCCTTTTCCCAAACACGCCTCTTTACGCTTATTCTCTGTAACCCCTTGCGTACTAGTAGAACTCCTGCCTTGCTTGGGGCGATTTGCTTAAAAAAGAAAAAGAAAGAAAAAAAATCAAAGTCACGAGTCTTGTAAGCGATGTTTTATACAGAATTTAATCTAAATGTATTATTATTTCAGGAGTATTACTTTATGCAAAATCTATTATTCTTTTAGCTGTTTCTTTTCTTCATTATTACAAACATTTTTAGAATTTTTTCTAAATACGTTTTTTTATTGTAGATTAGATTGAAACAGATATTCAGATATTCATGTTTTATTTTACATCAGTATAGATAGATAGATAATGAACAGACTAATAGATAGATAGATAGATAGATAGATAGATAGATAGATAGATAGATAGATAGATAATGAACAGACTAATAGATAGATAGATAGATAGATAATGAATAGACTAATAGATAGATAGATAGATAGATAGATAGATAGATAGATAGATAATGAATAGATAGATAGATAGATAGATAGATAAGGAACAGACTGATATATATATATATATATACATATATATATACATATATATATATATATATGGGGTGCATAAAAATAAACATATGCATAGATAGATAGATGAGGAACAGATAGATAGATAGATAAGGAACAAACATATATATATGTGTGTGTGTGTGCATAAAAATAAGCATATGCATAGATAGATAATGAACAAACTGAGATAGATAGATAGATAGATAGATAGATAGATAGATAATGAACAAACTAATAAATAGATAAATAGATAGATAATGAACAGACTAATAGATAGATAGATAGATAGATAGATAGATAGATAGATAATGAATAGACTAATAGATAGATAGATAGATAGATAATGAATAGACTAATAGATAGATAGATAGATAGATAGATTCACAATGAGACAGATTCACACTGAGATAGATAAATTCACACATATCTCTCGGTTTTTGAACTTCTTCCCTGTTTAAGATTGGGTTTCCGATTCCTTCTAATGTCTACTACAGCTCTACACTTCTGACGTTTCCGTCTAATTCACCTCTACACTTCTGAAGGAAAATTTATTTACTAATTATTTATTTCCTGTGTTTATTCTCCTCGATAGGATTAGGGTTGGATAGGTTCACCTCTCGTCCGGTTCAAACTTCTCCTGATCTTTTGAACTGGAGTATAAGTTAACCCCTTGTCCCCTGTTTAAGATTGAGTTTCCGGTTCATTCTAAAGTCTTTTCAATCTCTTTCTCTCACAGTAGCCTCTTCTGTCATATCGCTTTGCTTAAGATGAATTGGTTAAAAAAGGATAAGAACAGACTGAAATAGATAGATAGATAGATAGATAGATAGATAGATAGATAGATAGATAATGTGTGTGTGAGAGAGAGGGTGTTATGGGATCTTACCCATAATAATAATAATGGACTATTCCATACTTAATAAATACTGCACCTCAGGAGTAGGCAAAGAGTCAGTGGAGTCAGTAATCAGTCAGTAGTTCAAGTCGAGTCAAGAGTCGAGTCAGAGGCAGTCCGAAACAGAGTCACGTTCAGACAATTACTGCAAGACATTGGAATAGTGATGCTGGTCGAGACTACATTATTCTCTCTACTAAACCTGCTTGTTCGTACTAACACTTTATACTTCTCTGTATATATTCCTGTTTGTAATATATCTGTGTTATTCCATATGCGTATTCGAGTCCTTCTTATTTGGTTCTACCTTGGACTATCACCGTGGTACAAGGAACCGGACCATAACAGAGCGAGAGAGAGAGAAAGAGAGAGAGAGAGAATCAACACTATATGACGACTTTCTTTTTCAAGGGATTTTCTGAGACTCGCTCAAGACAACGTAACAGTCATCATGCATCGTTGATTCTTATGTTCACTCTGTCTTTATCTACAAATGATCTATCTCCGATATTGAGCGCTCTTTCTCCGTAAAAAATGGTAAATCTGTAAACAATAACATTTATATAAACTTATTTTCTATTATTTAAATTATTTACTATATAAATATAGTAAATTATATATATATATATATATATATATATATATATATATATATATATATATATATATATGCACATTTTTCCTATACATTTACTATTTTCTACTATATAGCAAAAAGTAAGAGTAACGCTAACTTTTAATTTTAAATGTAGTCGGAATTTTCTTCAGGATCAAGTACCAGTCAACTCAAGATAAAATTCAAAACTGAATCAAAATCATTCAAAGTGGATAGATTTTTAAGGAGTTCTCTTAGGTTGTTGGTTTTAACAAAATTATTTTTTGAAACGTCAGTCGGTGCTTCAAGCGCAATATTCTTTTTATCCAAATTTTAAAGCAGGAACTCAACATATGCGTATTCAATGTTCTAGCGCTAATTTTTAGTTCTTTTTTCTTTGTTTTTGTTATCCACCGATTTGTTAGAACTATTGTCTGCATCCGTGTATAATAATGATAATTCTTCATCTCAAAGATTCAGACAAAATTATCAGATCACAAAGCACACACAAATACAGGAATGAACACGATGCGAAAGGCTCTGCCAGTACTTAACACAAATACCGAATCCTCGAACGTTTCTCTAAAGATATATAATTCTGTAGTTAATCAAATACTGGTTAATTTCAGAACAAAAATGGTTTCGGGGACAGCATGGTACCACGCTCTTGGTAAGGACAGAATCTATCGTGATAATGGTAATATTAACCGTTTCCTTATAAGGATATATTTGGCATTCATCAGCCAAGCAGCCAATGCTACTTTCAGATGAAATTTATATCATTTTTCTATTAAAACGATTCTTCGGGAAAATAAGTCATTGTTACTGCTCTATCTAGTATTGATGGTTACTTCATTCTTAACCATTTGTTTGAAGTAGTGTAAAATGCTAACATCTTGAGTAACTTATTCTCTCTTCGAGGTACATGTGCTATCCAATTAAGTTGTTGCTGTTGTTGAAAGTCCTCAAGTGATGTAGTTTCTGTTATTTGGTAAAGTCCTTTTTTATTGGGTAAAGCGATTTGCATACGTAAGTGATTTGCTAACGCATGCAAATCTGCTCTAGTTCGCACTTCCGCCAATATTGAGCCTGGTAAAAAAATGTAGCAAAAAAGGTACGGTTGTTTGGAATACAAGTTGTACCTTATGTTCTCGCTCGTGCACTTGTTCATCGAGTGGCTAAGGCTCGGAAATTTGCACACGCTACAAAATTGTCTCTCGAAATCTCTGAGCTCCGAGATCATCGGCCATATTTTCTTTCACTTATTCTGCACGCGAGACACGTACGAGCGCGTTATGTTCCAGGAGGTAAACTATTTTCCTTTATAGACTCCACCCTGATCTCATGATCACATAAGTGGCATGGAGATCGTGGTCTCGTGTACTACTTCGTAAAGTTGGATGGGCTCCGTACATCCCGTTTTTGTTTGTGCGCACAGGTTATCTCTCGTTCTCGACATGATTACTGTCGTATTTCTAAAAAGAAAACAACACACAACTGTTTTCTTTGTGAATGAATACGTAGGCTGCTATTCAATTATTCTCTACAAATTGTGTATCCGTACAGACCAAGCATTCACAATCTGACTTTTGCCCGCCCAGCTCTATAGCTATTAATTTATTTGAATTGCTTCCCTCACTGGCGTCAAAATAAGTATTGTAAACATGGGCAATATATTCATTTAAGTAATAATTTCAAATACACAATAGCACATTCAAAATCTCAATTTTTCACGTAGCCTACCAATTTAAGCCACAGGGATATCTTGGATTTTAAAGTAGTGTCAGTTGATAGCACTTATCCATCTTTTTTGCCAAATTCTTAGATTCTACAAGTAGCTCCGGTTTTATGTTAAATGATATCACTTATCGATATTTTTGCTGTAATCTTCCAGTTTACACCACATGGGTCTCTTGAATTTTACAAGTAGCGTTTGTTTTATGTCAAATGATAGTATTTGTCTATTATTTTCTTGTAATCTTCCAATTTACACAACATGGGTCGCTTGGATTTTACAAGTAGTGTCTGTTTTTAGGGTAAAGTATAATATTTATCCATCAATGTGTGTAAAGCACAAGATGATTTAGTTACAATACACAAACTACTGAATCCTATATAGGTAACACTGAGGAAGTATCCCGCAACATGTACCTGCTTATTCAACCCCACACCTTGCCAGTTTCCTGTCTCAGTTTCAGTCTAATTAAATGTGAAAGAATGGAAGACAACTAAACACAGAGAGAGAGAGAGAGAGAGAGAAGCACAGAGCAAAAAAAAGACAGAGGAGCAAAAATAAAGGTGGGGGAGAGGAAAAGAATCAGTGAAATGGACCGACATAGAAAGAGTGATGAGTTACAGAGAAAATGCGACAAAGAAAACAAAGGAAATAAGAAAGAGAAAAAAATGGGAGAATTTAATCGGAAGAAAGACAGATGGAGAATCCAGGGAAATGCAAAAAACGTGCTCAGAAATCAAAATAGGGATACACTGAATTTATATTATTATTATTATTATTATTATTATTATTATTATTGTTGTTGTTGTTGTCTAAGTACACTTGATAGATCCTTTATTTGGGAAAAAACCGACACGTATTGATTTGTATATATGCATATTTAATTTTATCCTGCTATGTTTTTTCTGTGAGATAAAATCTTGATTACCGAATATTATTGAAACATATTCAAAGTGTGCTATCTTCTGCCTATATATATATATATATATATATATATATATATATATATATATATATATATATATATATATACATATATATAATATATAATATATGTATATATGTATGCATATATTTTATGTATATATGTATACATTATGTATATATATATATATATATATATATATATATATATATATATATATATATAGAGAGAGAGAGAGAGTGAGAGAGAGAGAGAGAGAGAGAGAGAGAGAGAACCATCCAAAGGGTGGAGATTTCCACATATTATTAAAAATAATGAATTATTTTCTTTATGTTTTTCAATGTTAAATATTCTCGATATGAGACATTCTCATTTGTGTGTTAGTGATCCAAACGTCTTTCTTGAACTGGCAGTGAAAACTCGAACCAACCTTACTTGTTTTATAACTCTTCACGCAGAACTTTTCACTGCCAGTTCATAGTTGTTGAATTTACCAAGTCTCGTGTCGTCTTTGTACTGCTTCAACATTTCAGTGACCAGTCTCATAATTTATCTTTCCACCTTACGGCCGTTGGAATATAGTGACAGAGAGGGATTCGATCTAAAAAGAAGAAAATTAGTTTCTAGTAGAAGACCAGGACCCTATTCGAATTTTTTTTTTAATTCCTCCCACCAAAAAAACACCAGAGCCGTTTGATTTTACAAATCCGGAAAATTGGCAGAAATGGCCGCAGAGATCTTCTAGAAGCGGTTAGCGTAATGGATAACGGCTCGGATTTGTTAATCAGAGAGCCTCCTACTAATTTCAATTGGCTTCGCTATATTCACTTATGCGCAAATATCCTTGGGAAAATTATGAATCCACCTTTTATACCCCCAGCTATGGGTTAATTAGTAAGACTTGCATCACTAAATCATCATTACCTCAAAATAAAATTATTACAATATAGAAATCTTTTCTGGTTTTAAATAACCTGCAAATTGTTGACAAGCCGTAGAAAACGTATCAATCAATCCAAATAACTTTTTTTTCATTTTATTATCTTTAAGAGTCTTCTGTTTCATTCATTTTAAGGATCAAAACGAAGTAAGTTTAGCGAATATTAAACGTTTATATTATCTTTTGTGCGCTGATCACATTTATTTTATTTTATTTTATTTTTACATTTACTCGTTTATTTTGCTTTGAATATACCAATTCATGAAGATACGTTGAATCATGTCTTCACGAGCCCAGCACAAGCGTTTGGTCCTTGTGTTCAGTGATGCAATGTAAATTCTCTTAATCCGCTCTCTTCTAAAATTCTATATTTGTTATCGTTTTAGATGTGGGGGTGGGGGGTGGATAACGGATACATGACGGTTATCTTCCCGCCCCCTAATTCAGACATGAGCTAAAGAAAACAAAGTCGCGAAACATCTGCTGAGTAAGATTTGTCTGCTTAAGGTGCAGAACATCTGCATAAATGCAACGGCCCATGATACATTTTAAATTGTCATAACCAATTCGCTTCAAAGCTGAAGTGAGCATCTTTCAGAAACCCGCAGCGTCACAAATCCTTTTAAGTCTTTAACGCAGGAAATTTAATCAACCCGGCTCAGAGAAGATCAGCCTCGAGCAAAAATATATCACTATAAGTTGTTACTTTTCATATCATAATTAATGTTGAAATTCAGAGCATTTATTTTCATAAGTTTGTTTGGCTCTCCGGGAGGTTGTTTTTTTTTTTTAAATTTAGCGGTAATATATAGATAGATATGTAGATAGATTAATCCTGACCTTTGTATCTCTTCAATCAATTTCCCAACACCGTAACGTGACTTCCCACTGTCTTTTCTATAAATATTTCCATGGCAATTGTTATAACAAGCTTTTCTCTTTCTTTCTTTTTTTTAAGTTGTTATTTCCATCCCCCAGCCACACACACACACACACAGACAAATTGTACATATGGGAACTAGTTAGGACTTCATAGAGACTTCTAGGTATTATGGTGACTGTAGTAAAAATGGTAAGAAGAGACACCATGGACTAATGTATAGCGGCTCGGATTGAGGAATCGAGTTCGAATTCCAGTCGAATCCATTATATTCACTTACGTGCTTATACCCTTGGGAACAGTATGAATCCGCTCCTTCTCCCCCAGCTATGGATAAATAGCAGGACAGACTGTGTTCTATAGTAGAAAGAAAATGGTAAGAAAGAGAATGACTGAATGGTAACAATACTATCTGGTCATCACATAGTTAAATCTGATAGCGATAGATTGAATGATATTTTCTTTATTCGAAAAAGACTAAATAAAGCCAATAACTGATTGTAAGTGTACGCGCAAGCTTAAAGTTACAAATTCATAGGCCCGGTGGAGTAATGGATAGCGGCTCGGACTGAGGAACTGGAGAGCCGAGTTCGAGTTCCAGTCAAATCCGTTACATTCGCTTACGTGCTTACTTGTGAAAGATATAAATCCTCTTCTTCTTCCCCCAGTAGGACAGACTGATGGATGACAACTCGACTACCGCAGAAAGTAATGGCAACCTACTGCAGGAAAAATCTGCCTCGTCAGTCATGTATTAAAAGATAAATGATCACCTATGCGTGTATCACGCATGACACATAACTGAGTAAGAATGTGTTATTTCGGTGTAAGGAATACTGTGGTATGTTTGGGTCAGTTTAAATCAGATTAAAGACCTGACTTTCTTATCCCCATTTTTGGTCTTGTGCCATATTTTGTATTCTTCAAAATAAATATTGCTTTCCTCTTCAGTATCTTGACCTCGTGCATTTGAGCGTGAGGGGCAATGGATAGCGGCTCGGACAGAGAAATCGGAGAGCCAAGTTCAAATTCCAGCCGAGCTTACTGCATACACTTTCGTGCTGATACTCTTAGGAAAAGTTTGACTCCATCTCTTCTTTTCAAAGCTATGGGTTAAATAGTAGGATTGACTTTTATTATAGCCTTGGATGACAACCAGTCTACCACAGACGCGGAAAATCTTCCGCCTACTCTGTCATGAATCGAAAGAGATGTGATCGCCCAAGCCTGTATCAGGTATAGCACTAAACTGACAGACTAGATTAGCAACTTGTTTTCATCCTTTTACTGCTGAAATAGCTAGATCTAAACCTAAGTTTGTTATATACCGCACCTATGAATGCTAATGGGTCGTGTCCCAATCTTCGTAAATACTTTGGACACTATTGAAAGTGGGAGTAATATGCTGTCTAAGTCGTCCACCGCTAGCAGTGGTTTACCTACTTGACGCCGTTGGCGAGTATTATATTTTGTTGACGTTATAATGATTACCATTTCACTTCCAACCTCCGTTTTGGTTATTCCTCATTCAGTAACCTTTTCTAGGTTACAACACTACCAATATTTTCTCATTCTGTTCATCTATCTATCTATCTATCTATCTATCTATCTATCTATCTATTCTATTCTCATTTTGTTCATCTATCTACCTATCTATCTATCATTCTGTTCATCTGTCTATTTATCTATCTTTCTTCATTCTGGCCATCTATCTATCTATCTATCTATTCTATTCTATTCTATTCTCATTTTGTTCATCTATCTACCTATCTATCTATCATTCTGTTCATCTGTCTATTTATCTATCTTTCTTCATTCTGGCCATCTATCTATCTATCTATCTATTCTATTCTATTCTCATTTTGTTCATCTATCTACCTATCTATCTATCATTCTGTTCATCTGTCTATTTATCTATCTTTCTTCATTCTGGCCATCTATCTATTCTATTCTATTCTATTCTCATTTTGTTCATCTATCTACCTATCTATCTATCATTCTGTTCATCTGTCTATTTATCTATCTTTCTTCATTCTGGCCATCTATCTATCTATCTATCTATTCTATTCTATTCTATTCTCATTTTGTTCATCTATCTACCTATCTATCTATCATTCTGTTCATCTGTCTATTTATCTATCTTTCTTCATTCTGGCCATCTATCTATCTATCTATCTATCTATTCTATTCTATTCTATTCTCATTTTGTTCATCTATCTACCTATCTATCTATCATTCTGTTCATCTATCTTTCTTCATTCTGGCCATCTATCTATCTATCTATCTATTCTATTCTATTCTATTCTCATTTTGTTCATCTATCTACCTATCTATCTATCATTCTGTTCATCTGTCTATTTATCTATCTTTCTTCATTCTGGCCATCTATCTATCTATCTATCTATCTATTCTATTCTATTCTATTCTCATTTTGTTCATCTATCTACCTATCTATCTATCATTCAGTTCATCTGTCTATTTATCTATCGTTCTTCATTCTGGCCATCTATCTATCTATCTATCTATTCTATTCTATTCTATTCTATTCTATTCTCATTTTGTTCATCTATCTACCTATCTATCTATCATTCTGTTCATCTGTCTATTTATCTATCTTTCTTCATTCTGGCCATCTATCTATTCTATTCTATTCTATTCTCATTTTGTTCATCTATCTACCTATCTATCTATCATTCTGTTCATCTGTCTATTTATCTATCTTTCTTCATTCTGGCCATCTATCTATCTATCTATCTATTCTATTCTATTCTATTCTCATTTTGTTCATCTATCTACCTATCTATCTATCATTCTGTTCATCTGTCTATTTATCTATCTTTCTTCATTCTGGCCATCTATCTATCTATCTATCTATCTATCTATCTATCTATCTATCTATCTATTATATACCGTATCTATGAACACTAATGTGTATGCCCCAATCCTACAAATACGTTGGACACTATTGTAAGTGAGAGTAATATGCTGTATACTTAGTCCACAACTAGCAGTGGTTTACCTACTTCACGCCGCTGGCGAGTATTGTATTTTGTTGATGTTATAAATATTACCATTTCATTTCCAACCTCCGTTTTGGTTATTCCTCGTTCAGTAACCCTTTCTAGGTCGCAATAAAGTTCTATTCTAATAGTTTCTCCTCTCTCAATTCTCACCTCTTCCGACTTCTTGCTTTCTTGTTAACTATAATCTTCAAAAATTTAAAGGCAACATCAATTGCCATCCTGTCTTCTTAATTCTGTTATTTTATTGCTATTTCATTCTAATGTTTTTTTTTTTTTGTTTTTTTTTTCTTACACCCTCAGAAATCTCCTGTGTCTTAATGGCGTCATTACCTTTCTTATGGCGAAATAATAAAAACACCTAGATAGATATACTTATAGGACCACCTTAATATACTCTGCTAGTATAATCTTCAAGCTTTGATACTTTTAGCCTTTACAATCTCTTTAACTCTTTGTGACATGGATTCGACGACGTTCTAGATGCAATCTTTCGGAATTTGGGATTTAATTCTGAGTATGACGATACACTACATCCGGAAACAAGGCCAATGATCGAGAGATTTGAGGTTTTGAGGAACGTGGAACCACCTCTTTATTGCTGCTGTTCCCAGGTCCAATCCTAAACCGGTTTGGTATCAACTGTTAGGGTCCCAGCTAAGGGCAAATAGTGAAACTCCCAAACAAAAGCAAAAAATTATGCAAGTATAAAAATACATTTCTATAGTAAAAATACTAGCAATACATTTTTCTATAAGAAAATTTACCAAATATACCTATTTATAGTAAAATGACCGACAATAATTTTTATCTGTAATTGTAGGCATACGATTACGTTCAAAATTTTTAGATTCCATTATTAAATAACCTATAGAATTTGATATGCTTCTAAATAAAATCAACCAACCAAACCACCAATATGAATAACTCTTCCATGATATTAATCCATATAATATCCTACAATTTCTTTAATCAAACTCTATTCCAAAATATAATCTTAACAAAATTAAAACATAAAACATACACACATCACCGCCTCTAGTAATTATGTCTACGCAAATATGTATATGTATAAAAGCTGAGTATCATCTACCATGTATTCAATTGTGAAAGCAGAATGACATATGTTTATTGCTTCAAAACTCCCAAGAAAATTAAATTTCAGCATTAGATGACTAGTAAGGAATTGGTGTGCCGTTAAACAAACAAGCAAACTAAACAAATTTGGAATTAGGCTCTTATTTTAGCATCTATCAGTTCTCTGAACATCCAGGTTTGGTTTATTTGTTTTATGGCATATCAATCTCAATGGGTTATTTAATGCCAACAAAATTTTCATTGTAATATTTTTTGCCAAAAATCTATTTCTGGTAATATTTTTTCCTTCAAAAATCTACTTCTGGTAAGAATTTCGCTTCGCTGGTAATAATTTTTTTATACAAATTATTTCTGGTATTAAAACCTATTTTTACAATTTCATAGTGCTTTGATCCGAGTTTGGGGGTTAACTATTTGCCCATAGCTGGGACCCTAATAGGTGCTACCACCCCGGGTCAGGGTGGACCTGGGAACACTAGCAATTAAGAGAGGGTTCCACGCCCCTCAAAACCTCATGATCAGAGACCTTGCTGTTAGGCGTAGTTTATCGTCTTAGCCAGAATGTGAATGTAATATATTGTTATACCCAGGACGGAAACATCCAGGGTTCAAATTTCACTTTCCACCGCATTCCAAATGTGCTCTATGGGACAGAAATACGGTGACTTTAACCCAGAAAATACATTGCTGTGTGGACCATTTTTTTTTATATTTGTGATACAGTGTGCTATCCTGCTGGAATGTTTCATTGATTTATTGATTGATTTGTTTTTTACTGCTTATCAACATTTTACAGGATATTTAAAGCCAGAAAATATTTTTATATTCTAAGAGATGTTTTGGAGATATTAACAATTTAGTGATACAAGTCCTACAAATTAATCCATAGCTGGGGAGAAGAGGGGAATTTATATCATTGCCAAGGGTATTATCGCGTATATAAATATAACGAACCAGACTGGAATTGAAACTCGAAGACTCCATTGTCCTGCTGAAATTGGCATCCAGTGAATGTGGCACTGTCGTCATAAATTAAGGCACGCCGTCAGCCAGAATATAGATGTAGACTGTGAAATTCAAACAATCTTTTATTGGCACCAAGGATCCTAATGCATACCAAAAATGATCTTCATACCATTACACCACTACCACAACCATCCAGAACTGTTGATACAAGACAGGATGGATCCATATTTTCATAATGGTTACACCAAATTCTGATCCTCTTACCCTAATGTAACAAAATAAATCGAGAGTCATCAGACTAGGCAACGTTAATTCCAATCTTCTATTGTCCAATTTTTGCAATC